TATTAAATATAATTTCAGATGATCTCTGCACAGTCTGGAATTGATATACAAGAAAATGTAACAGATTTTTTTAAGTACTTAATTTTCCTGTGATAAGAAGACCTTTCTGAGGAGCCCTATTTATACTTATTATGTTCAAGGACAGCCTGCTGGCTCAGTGCCGTTCACAGTGGAAACTTTATCCAGTTTATGAAATTATAAAAACACTGCATTTCTCATTGTCTTATCAATACCTCTCTTAACGTGTGGATCAAAACAGAACACATTGTATGCAATTTCTTGGATTTCTTTTATTTACCTGAAACTGAAAAGTAAATATGGACAATAGTACTTGACTATGATGCTGGAAAGAGTGTTTTCACAGTGCAAGTTGACTGTGTATGTGGCTTACACATGTACCAAATTGATGTATCATTTTCTTAGATTCATAAAATATTTGTGTACTTCAGTTCTTTATGTTTTTGTGAGTTTTTTAATGTAACCAAATATTGTTACTTTCACTTTTTTCATGTTGATCCAGCAAAGCAGTTTGCATAGTTACGTCCTCATCTCCAGAGAGCATGTGATCCAATTACAAAAGTAAACACAAGACATATTTTGATTATTAGAAATTTTCTACAAATTACAGACAGGTATGATAATCACAAGTGTATACTGTTAAAGCCTTGTCTCTCCTATGGAATGTCATGGTTGTTTTTTTAGCATGATCGTGATATTTTTCCATCCTCTTATGGAAACAAGTGACTTATACAATCAGAAGAGATAGCTTTGCCTTCACAGGGAGAGCTTAAAGCAAATACAGCTGGGACACGTGTGAGCTGCACCGCTGTAACTTGTGCGATATTGAGCCATTATGAGTTAAAGGACACCCTCTGGCTCTGCCAATGGCAGCTTAACATCTGGTTAGCATTTCATCTGCTGGGTGACATTTTTTCAAGGAACTATACAGATGAAATGCTAACCTTTCCAGGAAAGAGGGATCATTTCAGACCTTTTTTAATTTTGCTTGCAAAGTGGTCATGAAGATATTTGACCAGACTGCTGGACAGTTTGTTTCAGTGTGAAAAATATAGCACAACAATCCCCACTCTATATTACTGTGAGTCTGAAATGGTCGAAACCTCAAAACTGGAAGGATTTCTCGTTTTAAAGTTGAAAAAATTAAGAGTGGCATCTGCTCGCTGTGTTCCAGACTTGACTCACATTGTAAATTCCTAACAGACTAACAGGACATCATTTTCAGCTGAATGTTTTCCACAGCTTCAAGTCCATCTCCTCCAATCACCCATTAACAACAATCCAGTGTGGACCCTTCAAATGCTAAGCACATAGAGTTGGAGCATGATGTGCCTGGCTGCGTTTGTGAGGGCCTCCTCCCTTCCACTGCCAGTTAGTGTTAACTCACAGTTTACAGTTGTTTCACGAGTGGGTGCATGTCAAGGTTTATAAAAATCAATATCACTGCACATTTGCGTGAGTGACACAGAAATCCTTTGTTTTCTGAAAGCCATCGGGAATTATCATACAAGATATCAGAGAATAGTGGGTTGTGAGCGTCTGGGTCCGCAACTTAACTAATAGACAGGAAGGGCCGAACGAACTGATCGAGACTGGATTTGTTTTGACATTCTTCATGTAGCTGCTTCTCAGGCCTGCCTGATCATTCCTCTCCCGGTATTTCAAATAAACCCATCTCTGAGCCGTTCCCCAAATAAGCAGGGAAGGGCCAGACGATGCCCCTCTAACACTAGATTAGGTTGCCAAACTCAAATACAGTGGGAAAAGAATCATGAATAGGACTGAACAGAGAAGCTGAGGTTTCTGTCAGGATACATAGAAGAGTCTTGGCTGCTCAGAGGAGGTCAAAGTCTTTAAGTATCCATCCAGCTCTTGTTCCTGGGAACATAAAATCCCTGCATTTATGATGTTCCTTACGTTATTCCACGGGCCAGTAGGCATGGATGGTCCTCTTGAACAGTCAAGTCCCCCTCTCACAGAAATCTCTTTTAACTACTAGAGCGAACCATAAAGTTGAAGTGAATGAAAACATTTGTCCCTGTGTTGTTGTGAAAATGGTTCAACTCATCTTAACAGTAATGTAGGACACAAGTTTATATTATACTTGTATTTTCACCAAACATTCACCATACAGTTGAACAATCTACATCCATGGAGGACAATAAGAATCCCACTGTGTTTTATCTATTTGTGTAGATGTCTGGGCCATTACAAAGTCATTGGCATTGCCCAGGTGGAGTGCATGGCACGCAACCAAAATGACTAAATTAGGATGCCATATTGTTCATTAAATGTGCACAGGAGGAAAACCTGGCTGAAGGCCTCTGTCAACAAATAAAGTGTTTCAATTACCTAAGTATGCCAACTTCAGCGGATGCAATTGGTGGTAAATGGGGCTAATTACTTGCTCACTGAACCTTGCAAAGGACTGCTCTTGGTACAACTTTAAGATCTCCTAATAGTTACCAAAAGGCTTGTCACATTACATAAGATGGAAGGAAACGTGTGTTTAGCAGTGCACCAGCAGACAGACACATACTGACTTGAAACACAAAGTTTGTCTTGACTTGGGACTTAACTCGAGACTTCATAGCCAAGACTTGAGATTTACTTGTGGCTTGTAAAACGACTTTCTGCCTATCGGACACACATAGGTTCATAATGGGACACTGTAAAAGGCATGGGACAATGGAGGAAACCCAGGAAAGGAGGAATCTCCATTAGAAATGGATAGAGGCTCTTTGTCTCAAAGAGCTTCACATTTTCTGAGGCCACGGTCAATTCAACATGCCACAGCCAACAGGCCTGGCTACTACATTCCACTGAAGCCTACAAACTCTATTTTGCCATGCAGCTGATTGGCAGTCACCGTCAGTTAGCTGGTAAGCAGAGAAAGCTATAGTCTAAGCAAGACATCTCCAGGGCCTCATTATAAGCCTCATTCGGCAGCAGCTCAGACTCTTATGTCTGAGTGCCCAGGAGTAGCAACAGGGCCCACTTCATCAGAAGCAGCCAGGGATACATTCTTCCTCCACTAGGTCGGTTCAGGCTTGAATAAGTCTTTGTGAAGCATGATATAGTGTAGAAGTGACAGCCCACCTCAAATCCATTTACAATCAAGGGCAGAAATCTCCATGTAATTTCTGATTCCGCTTTAATCCCAGACAGCACCACACCTTTATCTCATAATTACCCACAAGGAAATACACAGGGATTGTATCAGTTTGGGTAGGAATTAGTGGAAAGGCAGAGAGAACGCCCATGCTGTGCATGCCCTGACAGCTATCCAGATGCTGGATTATAAAGCTAGAAAAGTGAAATAGAAGACAGGCTGGGGAAGATTCTGGGTCTCAGACATTCATGTTCCATCAGGGGTAGTATGGAAGTGATTCCCAACCACCCCGTACCACAGGGGACACTGCATAAACAGTTAGACAGCATATGTGGAAAGATTAGAGTAACTCAGCTCATTTAAGATTCGATTAAAGAATATACACATATTGAGTCAACTATACAACCTGAACACTACATTGTGATTTAGTGTAGCAAAAACTAGTTAGTAAGTGGGCTGAAAGGTTTAATCAGTTAACTAAGCTTCGATAAATTGTTTTAGGGTCCAATGCGTAACATTAAGTAAGATGGTGTGTAGTCACAATCAAAATTAGAATCGTATTTTTGTTACCTTAGAATGAGATGGTTGGCACAGGTCGCCTTCCGTGGAGGCTGCCATCTTGAACTGCTAAGTTTCTACAGTAGCTCAGAATAGACAAACCAAACACTGGCTGTACATAGGGCCATTTGCATGTTTTGTGCATTTTGAGGCCACCGTAGTTTCTCTCTCAGTGTTGCAATCTGCAACTACACTGCTACATGCCACTAAATCCTACACATTGGACCTTTAAATAAATAGTTAGCAATGGATAAACACTTTAGATTGCTAAAAGCAACTGGCAAATAGTTGAAATACAGCTAAAAGTTATGGATAATGAAATAATTAAAGAAAACTGATTAAAGATGCAAAACAGTAACAGATAGTAATAATAAAGGATGAATGTCTGAAATAGGTAATTAATAAATCAGACACATTTGAACCATAGTGGTGAATGATGATGAAGGCGTACTGGACTTCAACTTTAAGGCCGTGCAGGTAAGTCTGACAAAAACTACCAGTGTAGTAAAGTAATACAGCAAGTGCTTCAAGACTATTTGACTTGAATAGAGGTTCACAATGATACTGATGTATTCACCTGTTAAAAAATAAGGCGTTTTTTTTTTTCCAGAAAGGAAACTTATTGTATTCACAGTAAAGCCTTCTGAGTTTTGTTTCAAACTTGATTTAATTGAAAAAAGTGTGATGAATATGAACAATACAATTCCTTAATCCATGTGAACAGCTGCTAGAACACACGACAAAACAATTAGACAGCAGTGAATACATTTTTAATAGACATCCTTTTCATTGGGTCATCTATCATTCTTGACTACTGGAAAACTGAAATGAAGTTCAAAAGGCACACGCAACATTCAACAATAAGGAGATGAACATAAAATAATGAGCGGATTTGATTTGGATGACTAATAACCACGGACAGCTGCTGAATGATGACCTGGAAGGATTTCACTCCATTTTTTCTTGAAACAGCGCTCTGCTTTAAAAGTCTCCCTTGGCACATTTATTATATTTATTTGAAAGAGTGATTGGGTCATTAACAGTATTTAAATTGACAGTCTTCATGGACAGTTTGTTTTCAGTGAACATAATAAAAGATGCAATTCATTTTAAGCCATTGGGGAAAAAATCTGAAATAAAAAAAATTAAATTTTCCATTTAGTTCATGTGTGAAAATGCACAAAAACAATCTTATTTTTCACTTCTTGGTTCTACCAGTGACCATATCAGTGCGTGCTTGGTGACGTTAATGGTGTTTCTTTGAAATACATACAACCCTATGGAGCCAACCATCAACCAAATTGACACAACAGTCAAAAAACACGTACTTTATTTCAAATTGCTGCAACAGGGGCACTAAAAACAAACTGCAGAGAAACACACAGGCCCCCGAGTTCAACTCACTTCGATAGAAAATATTCTCTTTTAAAAGTCATGGATAAAATGAAAGCACAGGAGAACATATGGTGGACGAAATGACTTGGAACGCAGCGTCAATGTAGCTTTGTCCAGCCAACAGAAAAAAAAGGAACACTTATTAGATTATAAGAGCACAGTTTGGTGCGGCTTTCCAACCTTTCAAAATATAGAACATTTCATGAACTTTCAGGAATAAATAAGAAAAAAAAGACACCATCCTGCCTCCACCAAAAAAATAAAAATAAAAAATCCAAACAAATTTTACTGTTTCAACTGTGACATTTTGAGATTATGGGGTGTGCAAGAAAAATAAACTAATACACTTTCAGAGAAAAGCGGTGACAACACACACATCAGTCAACATACACTCACCACATGCCCATACAGTCAGCCACTGTCTCCCTCTCAAACACACACACACTCACACACACACACACAGAGAACAGAGCACGCTGTGGCTATTGATTAACTTGACTGACTGATTTCACAACACATTGATAAACTGACAGTGCAAATTTTCAGACGGCTGCAGAGAACTAAAATAAGAGCAAAGAAGATACACCAATAGGACAAACTTTCAGACATTTTGTACAATTTTTAAATGAATTCAGTGTTGGATCTGCTCTCTTTTTTTGTTATGTTTTGGGACAAAATATGGAATGAAGCTCCAGAGAAGCCGAAAATAACTGTATTTTTGGATTAAACACTCCTTAGAAGATTAAAAAAATGCCTTTAAATTTTGCTATAACTATTAGTTATTTTAGGATTTGTGTGATTTTTTTTACCTTCTTTGCCTTAACCCATCATCAAATACATTTTAAAAAATGTTTAAAACAATAACAGGTTGTTAACTACATAAAACACTCTGGAGCACCATTTTCATAAACATGAATTGAGACAGAATTACGATCCAAGAACAAAAATTAGAAGCCAAAAGGTGATTCTGGCCGTTCTAAAGGCAGCAATCTTGACTGGTGGCACTAAGTTTGGACTTAAATGTAGACACGAGTCAATCCAGTCAACCGACTACAGTGCATCATGAAGGAGTTTCTCATCTACGGGGTTATAATGAATGACCTCTGACCTCCTGTGACGGGGCAGGTCAGGTCACCCTGGTCCACTACACCTGTACGATGTGAAATGCTTTCCAATGTGTGTGAATTTTCTCAGGAACAAAAAGGTAGAGAAGCCTGGAAGAAGCAAAAAAAGATCAAGAACGCTCTGTTCACAGGCTTTCCCTTCCCCTGTAGGTTTCTCATCTCGCAAGGCTAGTCGAGTGTTTATGACGACACCCAGGTTTTACGGTACCTCACAGTCCTTTGGGTTTGTCAGAGTTCTCAAAGACTCCGAAGTTGTTTCCTGAAACGAATCCAGTCACAGGATATGGAAGGATATTGAAGTGTCTGTTAACTGGATAGAAGGAGTTACAGAGTTCCTGCTCCTGTTGCTTTGTCTGGTGTTTTTCTCTACTTCACCATTCGGCATCCCCAATGGCTTTGGAGAAGACATAGTCTCTCCCATTCAGATTCATAATCCCGTCCTTCAGGTGGAATTTCCATTTGTTCTTACTTCTGTGAATCTGGGGAGTAAAGAGAAGGAAATGAACGTTGTGGGATATGATCATGGACAGATGGACACCGTCTCATCTTACAGTGGACGCAGTCTCTAATATCTTTAGCCAACACATGACTGCGATATTAATCATTAATGGTGAATGAAAGGGTGATATTTTTTATTACTAAAGAAAAAGACTGTTGGCCAATTGTTAGTCGTGCGCACACACACACATGCAGGTCGACTGAGTTTTGTTGTGTCATATTCTCCCACAGAATATTTCATATCATTTCTCACCTTGTCGTACTGGCACACCACTACATTCTCTGTATCAAACAGCTCCTGGTCCTCCTCATCACTGACATCATCCCCACTGTTCAGTGGCTCCTGACGAGGAAACCAAACCAACACGTTCAGCAGAGCGATATTTAATGTTCTAGATGTGGTGCAAAAGCTTGTGAAACAGAATGTCTGGTCTGTACAACATTAAAACACAGAGTGGCTGACTGTGGCGAGCGGATTGTGTTGGAGCAGAAACACATGAGTGATTTATCCACATTTATTATCTAGGGACAAGACAATGTCATTACACAGTAGGACTATTTTATCCCTAACAGGAGGGAGACCTCTTAGATTATATTGCTTTTTGCCGGTTGAACTCACCTCTTCCACCTGCCCATCCTCTCCCCCATCCTTGTCCTTCTCCTCATCATCATCTTCATCATACTCCTCCTCCTCATCCTCGTCCTCTTCTGAGGAGGTGTCGCCGGTGCCGTCCACCTGCAGCATCATAGGGGGCTGCTGGGCCTGAGGCTGGGGCTGAGCCTGGGGCTGGGCTTGCTGCTGTGGTTGGGCCTGTGGTGCAGCTGCACCCTGGGCCTGCTGAACCTGCTGGACCTGAGCTGTTGCTGCCTGACCAGGCTGCGCCGCCATAGCTGCTGCCTGCATCACCTAATGGGAAGAGGGCCCCAGAATAGAACACAGTGATTGTCGGGTCATTAGTCTAATTAGCAAGTTAGAGTTGACAGAACAGCATAAATATATGTATATGGCATTTACAGATATGGAAAAAGCAATTAAATGGCTAATGGAGGAATTGAAGAAGTGCTGACCTGTGTATTGCCTTGGACTTTGTTTCCTGAAGCTAAGACAATCTGCTGCGGCTGGATGATGACGCCTGTTTGCTGGGGCAGGCCTCCCTGCAGGGGAGCCAGGACCTGCACAGACAAACCACAAGAACCCACCTTTGACAAAAACTCTAAGATAAACGTCAGTTTATTGTGTTGTTGTATTCTTCAAGCAACAGTACTGCTGTGTTGAAAAACAGAGAAGCTGTACTCTGGCTCCTCGTGTAGTGATGGATTTAAACTGTATTTCACTAGTGCTGGTTCATGTGAGACGTCACTGACTGAAGGTCATGGATATATTTCTTAGAGGAGAGGGTTATGTTTTGGGTAGTCAAGTGTCCTCCTTGTTCCCCAGAATTATTTCATGTATTTCTTGGCATTTCTTTTTCCGTAAGTCAGGTTTATTTCCACAAGCTGGTTCTTCCACTGCTTCAACAGCAGAAGACCACAGCCGTTATTGAACTCACTTGTCACGGACAAATTACACACTGGCTGTCAATTATTAGAAACTATGAGTTGTCGATTGTTGTTGTTCTAAAGACCACAAATAAACAAGGGACATGCAGACATGTTGCACTTCGAGGTACTTTACTTTTCAAAATGTGTGCCTCCGTTTACCAAAGCGAGGTGTTCCTACCTGTCTAATGGAGCATACCTGCTGTATGACCGGTGCCTGCACGCCGCCGGGCTGCATCTGCTGCTGCAGGAGGATCTGCTGCTGGGGCTGCTGGATGATGTACTGAGCCCCATTGGGAGCACGGACCACCTGCAGGATCTGACCTGAGAGACCACAAAACAGAAAATAAACCATGAGTGCTTACATTGGGCTATCTGAATATCAAAGTATTTCTTCACCATTTGATGCACAGATACACTTGTGAGGGCTTTACCTTGGCTGGTGATGAGCTGTTGGTATGGGGTGACCCCTGTAGGCAAAGCAAGGGTTGCTGCAGTAGCTGCTGCACTCTAGAGGAGAAGAGGAAAACACACATTTAAGAGTGACTGAAACACAGCAGGGAGGTACACACTCACTCATACACACACAAACACCAAGTCCACAGGCAAAGGCCTTAGGCAGGGTTCAAGAATGAAGAAAACAAGACTGTTTTAGGTGTTTACGGTTGTCAAGGTGTAAATATTCTTTAGTGGGTATTAAAAATACACTCCTGGTGTACACACACACACACACACCTTTGACTCTAGTGTTAAGTACATTTCTCTGGAGAGATTGTAATATATTTATGAAATACAGCACAACATCTTCTCAATTAAAGCACTAATATTTATATTCCTTTGCTGTGGTGATAAAAGCAGCTGTTCCTAATTTGCATTACTTCATTTTATCTGCCAGGTTCGATGGTGAAAGGTTGGAAATTTGCAAGTGAAGCTTAAAAAAGGTGTTTGAGAATTAAGACAAAAAAAAACAAACAAGGTTTTCTACAACAGCACAGATGTCTGGCCAAACGGAAGTGTTGTTGAGTAGGAAGTACAAAG